GAGCCAACACTTTTTGTAATAATACCATCCCAAGTTCTGTGTAAACCACGACTCCGCAAGTCACGCGACTCGTGATTGACTTAGGGATGATGAGTCAATTTACTCAACCAAATCATCGTCTCTAACTCAACTTATCATAAGACATGAATTTTTTATTACGTCCAACTAAATTATTTTATTTATCATTTTTTGCATATTGCTCGATATATACTGTTTTATAATATTATGACTGATACGGCTTTGGACCTTCCGAGACGATTGGTATTACCGCGACATTAAACCATGTAGTAGCAGGAACCTTGTGCATTGAGCTATCTTTTATGGGAATAAAATGTCTATACCATGTGGATTGTGTCTAAAATTTTCAGTCATATGAACACAAAGAAAGTTGATATAATCTTATCTCAGTGGTTTAATTTTAGCAACATAACAAATTTGCAATCAACATTTTCACCTTCAAAGTTGCTAGCACCGTGCCATCCCCTAACTCCATCTCTGACACTGCAATATTCATGAGAGAGAGAGAGAGAGGGGGGGGGGTTAAAAGACTGGAACAACAGTTCTGCAGTCTGCAATGGCAGAAAGTCACTGCACTTAACTGAATTCTTTCTGTTTATACCTCTTGTCTCTTTTTTGACCATCCCTTTCTCTCCTAATTCAAATTGATTCCTTCTCCTTGCACCTTCAAACATGGTCCTTACTTTTAGGTACTGTGTAATTAATGGACTTAATATTCATCTCTTCAAGGAACGCCAGAACTCTCTTAAATCTCCTGAATAAACAAACCAAACATCTAGACACACAGCTAATAACTTCAACCCATACCATTTTATGTGCCACAAAATGATTAGCTTATGAATGTGTATGAAAATATGGAAACAAGTAGATTGGGGCATGGACGGATCATGGACTTCGATTTATAGGACAAACCCTTTGGATGTCTTTGCGACTAGGCAAAATTTATGTAATTTTAAGACTCACTTGGCACATACGATGAAATTTTAAAATGGTTGCATAGTGATAATGGTTGAATTCAGTGATAAGGTTTCAAAACCGTGTTATATACAACTACTAATTACTCAAGGTTTTCAACAATGATCACAACAGTTTACCCAAAAAATTGAAGGGTGTTGGTCTCCTACATTTTTAGGATTTTATTAGTTAGCATCAAGTACAGACAATGATAATTGGAATGGGCACATGACTGCTTCCAAACAGTGGTACATAGTACCTCATATAATCAACCACTGCCACTAATTCTTAGTTTTTTCTTTGGAATTCCATCTATCCCAGTCCTCACACGCCGGACTAATTTGGACTTTTGTGCAAAACCGTCTCTCCAAGGAGTAAATCTGAGAGCGATGGCCCCATGAAGCATATACATCCGTAAAATAAATATTCGAACTTTTGACCTATTGAGATGTTTATCATGGCTGAGCTACCACTAGGCTAATCTACCAATAGTTTGTTATCTAAGTCATAAAGATAGCCTTGCCTCNAAATATTCGAACTTTTGACCTATTGAGATGTTTATCATGGCTGAGCTACCACTAGGCCAATCTACCAATAGTTTGTTATCTAAGTCATAAAGATAGCCTTGCCTTCCCCATAGTACTCTCTCTCTCTACTTACAGTCTCAGTGCCTCACTCTTTATTTCACTTTGCATACTATCCCTCATCCTACAAAACCTCTCAGTTTCTCTCAAGATCTCTCTCTATATACAGATAATAGTGCCATGAACATGAAAGCAACTAAGAAGATGAGGGGTTTCATGTGCCAGTCCCCTGCCGCCACTGCAGTTTGCACCAGTGATCCCCGGTCAGTGATAGTGCCGCGAAGGCCAAACCAAATGCTGGTTGAACATGCAAGACTTATCAACAACAAGTACTCTCGACTCGTCNTGCCATGAACATGAAAGCAACTAAGAAGATGAGGGGTTTCATGTGCCAGTCCCCTGCAGCCACTGCAGTTTGCACCAGTGATCCCCGGTCAGTGATAGTGCCGCGAAGGCCAAACCAAATGCTGGTTGAACATGCAAGATTTATCAACAATGCCAAGTACTCTCGACTCGTAGAGTCCCGTAGATTTGCTCCTGTTACTAGGAGATCAGCTACTGTTCCATCTCTTACAAGGGACCAAGACCATGTTGAGGGACACAAAAAGGCCTCCCAAGTAGCTTCTTCAGACCATGTCTTTCAGGTAAGTTTTAGATCACTTTTAGCTGATGTACCATGCTATATGTAGGCCTTTTAGCCTACAATTTGGGAATAGATTTCCCATTTTGTTTTCATCCCATGTCCAAGATATGACTCTGTATGTTAATATTTTATTACATAATTGTTCCAACAACACGTTCTTTAGACTTATAGTTATAACACACTACACGGGCACAACTCAATCATTTGTTAACCGCACGCATCGATGAAACCGGAGTTCTACAAGGCCAGTGAATTCGAATTCAAGTTATACGGATTTATACCTGACTCTTTTTATTCGATCACTAAACTAATCTTTGCAAGTTCGTATGCACTATGAATAATGGAGGAAATGGGGAATGAAACTTAAAACATAAACTGTTCTCTTGATACATAGTTTAATAATGCACCATCAGTCATGTTTGTGAGTGCAGGTGGTGGTAATGAGAGTCTCTCTTCACTGCCAAGGCTGTGCTGGTAAAGTAAAGAAACATTTATCTAAGATGGAAGGTACTTTTAAAATGAAAACAATCATTTTGCTTACTTGTATGACCATATTATGTTATTAATAGTGTACTTATGGACAAAATAACCACCAAATCTAAAAATTTATGGAGAATACCTTTAGAAATGACCAAATTTTCCCAAATATTTTGCTAGTCTAGCTCTGTTTGGAAGAGATCCAAAAACACTAAAGAATCACGGTTTTATATCAGTGACAAATTGTAACTTGAGTTGACCTCGATAATTTAAGTTTGGATCCCCCTCTCCATCACTGTACATAAGGAATAAATTAGATAAAAAAAACTTCTAGTCTTGAAATCGTGAAAATCAATTTTTACCCAACTTGCACTAGAATAAGAATTAGTCTCGCCAAACAGAGTAAGACCGTTTACAACTTATATTTTTCAAAATTCACCGGAAGCAGTAGGTTTGTGTATGGATTTCAACCTACCTTGCACTGGAATAGTAAGTTAACACATTTCTAGGTCAAGGACTAAATAAATATCACAGTACTGGCCATGTGCTAGCCTGCTAGGTCATGTATGGCTTACACAAGATTTCAACAACCCTATATATGTACTCAAAGCAAAGATGATCTCTTCATTCCTTGATGATCTTATCCATTCCTTCATTTTTTTTCTCTCATTATACAAGGTTGTTTTAGTCACACATCAAATAATTGTCAATCTCATTCTAGTCAACTCTATAAGATCGTCTTTTATCGAATTTCGCTTGTCGAGTACATTTAGACGATTGGGTTAGGGGGGTTATACTAGAAAAAAATGGTTGGAACGTACTAATCCAATCACCCACATTTACTCGGTAATCGAAAATTGATAAACAAATATTTTTGAAAAAATTTTCATTACCCAAAATTGAACTGATAAATTTGATTTTGTTTTGCCTCGAAAATTATCAGGTGTGACATCATTCAGTATAGATCTGGAGGACAAAAGGGTGACAGTGATGGGACACGTGTCACCTGTGGGTGTTCTAGAGAGTGTGTCAAAGGTGAAGAAAGCAGAGTTTTGGCCTTGTTGAATGGCATATATTGCATGGACTCAACTTAAAATGGTAGGTTGGTTCACATGGTGCCAAAAGAGGAACCCTAAAGATGCTTGTGTAGCTGTTTTCTGTCCATAAAAGCTATTCAATTTGTGGGTCCCACGATTAAAAATGGCAATGGATGGTGGAAATTTGATCATGTGGGTAAGAGCAGTATTTGATAGTGATAGGCCTGGGTGTATTTGAACATGGACATCTTCATTTATTAGTGTCTCTAATCTTACTCTTATGTCTAATTAACCTTATATATGTGGTTTTTAAATATCTTTCTTTTTTTTTCCCCCCTGATATTTCCTCTAAATTGATCTGCTTGGCTAAAAGGGGGATGTAATTTTTCGAATCGACTGCTGATTTGAATCAATCAATCTAAAATAAAGCGGTCATTTGAGTTAACTTCGGAATATCTGTTCTTCGTGTCTTCATATTTTAAAGTGGAGANTTTCCCCCCCCCCCCCCGATATTTCTTCTAAATTGATCTGCTTGGCTAAAAGGGGGATGTAATTTTTCGAATCGACCGCTGATTTGAATCAATCATTCTAAAATAAAGCGGTCATTTGAGTTAACTCCAGAATATCTGTTCTTCGCGTCTTCATATTTTAAAGTGGAGATTTAAAAACTTGCACGACAACAGTTTTTAGGCCAAAAATAGTAAAAGAAAAAAAGAGAAAAAGAAAAACTAAATGCTAAAGCCTTTTGTGTAGACTCTTTACATTACTTTGAAAATTTTCAATTCTTCTCAAAAACTAGGCAAGAGGGCGCGTATGATATAGAATTTTGAAAAAGAATATAATTTGTGAAAAAATATAGAATTTCGGATTTTTTAATACACATTTGTAGCTATTTTACTATTTTTTGAAAAAAGNCCGCGAAGGCCAAACCAAATGCTGGTTGAACATGCAAGATTTATCAACAATGCCAAGTACTCTCGACTCGTAGAGTCCCGTAGATTTGCTCCTGTTACTAGGAGATCAGCTACTGTTCCATCTCTTACAAGGGACCAAGACCATGTTGAGGGACACAAAAAGGCCTCCCAAGTAGCTTCTTCAGACCATGTCTTTCAGGTAAGTTTTAGATCACTTTTAGCTGATGTACCATGCTATATGTAGGCCTTTTAGCCTACAATTTGGGAATAGATTTCCCATTTTGTTTTCATCCCATGTCCAAGATATGACTCTGTATGTTAATATTTTATTACATAATTGTTCCAACAACACGTTCTTTAGACTTATAGTTATAACACACTACACGGGCACAACTCAATCATTTGTTAACCGCACGCATCGATGAAACCGGAGTTCTACAAGGCCAGTGAATTCGAATTCAAGTTATACGGATTTATACCTGACTCTTTTTATTCGATCACTAAACTAATCTTTGCAAGTTCGTATGCACTATGAATAATGGAGGAAATGGGGAATGAAACTTAAAACATAAACTGTTCTCTTGATACATAGTTTAATAATGCACCATCAGTCATGTTTGTGAGTGCAGGTGGTGGTAATGAGAGTCTCTCTTCACTGCCAAGGCTGTGCTGGTAAAGTAAAGAAACATTTATCTAAGATGGAAGGTACTTTTAAAATGAAAACAATCATTTTGCTTACTTGTATGACCATATTATGTTATTAATAGTGTACTTATGGACAAAATAACCACAAAATCTAAAAATTTATGGAGAATACCTTTAGAAATGACCAAATTTTCCCAAATATTTTGCTAGTCTAGCTCTCTTTGGAAGAGATCCAAAAACACTAAAGAATCACGGTTTTATATCAGTGACAAATTGTAACTTGAGTTGACCTCGATAATTTAAGTTTGGATCCCCCTCTCCATCACTGTACATAAGGAATAAATTAGATAAAAAAAACTTCTAGTCTTGAAATCGTGAAAATCAATTTTTACCCAACTTGCACTAGAATAAGAATTAGTCTCGCCAAACAGAGTAAGACCGTTTACAACTTATATTTTTCAAAATTCACCGGAAGCAGTAGGTTTGTGTATGGATTTCAACCTACCTTGCACTGGAATAGTAAGTTAACACATTTCTAGGTCAAGGACCAAATAAATATCACAGTACTGGCCATGTGCTAGCCTGCTAGGTCATATATGGCTTACACAAGATTTCAACAACCCTATATATGTACTCAAAGCAAAGATGATCTCTTCATTCCTTGATGATCTTACCCATTCCTTCATTTTTTTTCTCTCATTATACAAGGTTGTTTTAGTCACACATCAAATAATTGTCAATCTCATTCTAGTCAACTCTATAAGATCGTCTTTTATCGAATTTCGCTTGTCGAGTACATTTAGACGATTGGGTTAGGGGGTTATACTAGAAAAAAATGGTTGGAACGTACTAATCCAATCACCCACATTTACTCGGTAATTGAAAATTGATAAACAAATATTTTTGAAAAAATTTTCATTACCCAAAATTGAACTGATAAATTTGATTTTGTTTTGACTCGAAAATTATCAGGTGTGACATCATTCAGTATAGATCTGGAGGACAAAAGGGTGACAGTGATGGGACACGTGTCACCTGTGGGTGTACTAGAGAGTGTGTCAAAGGTGAAGAAAGCAGAGTTTTGGCCTTGTTGAATGGCATATATTGCATGGACTCAACTTAAAATGGTAGGTTGGTTCACATGGTGCCAAAAGAGGAACCCTAAAGATGCTTGTGTAGCTGTTTTCTGTCCATAAAAGCTATTCAATTTGTGGGTCCCACGATTAAAAATGGCAATGGATGGTGGAAATTTGATCATGTGGGTAAGAGCAGTATTTGATAGTGATAGGCCTGGGTGTATTTGAACATGGACATCTTCATTTATTAGTGTCTCTAATCTTACTCTTATGTCTAATTAACCTTATATATGTGGTTTTTAAATATCTTTCTTTTTTTTTCCCCCCTGATATTTCTTCTAAATTGATCTGCTTGGCTAAAAGGGGGATGTAATTTTTCGAATCGACCGCTGATTTGAATCAATCATTCTAAAATAAAGCGGTCATTTGAGTTAACTCCAGAATATCTGTTCTTCGCGTCTTCATATTTTAAAGTGGAGATTTAAAAACTTGCACGACAACAGTTTTTAGGCCAAAAATAGTAAAAGAAAAAAAGAGAAAAAGAAAAACTAAATGCTAAAGCCTTTTGTGTAGACTCTTTACATTACTTTGAAAATTTTCAATTCTTCTCAAAAACTAGGCAAGAGGGGGCGTATGATATAGAATTTTGAAAAAGAATATAATTTGTGAAAAAATATAGAATTTCGGATTTTTTTAATACACATTTGTAGCTATTTTACTATTTTTTGAAAAAAGATATAGAATTTTGGATTTTTTAATACACGTTTGTAGCTATTTTACTATATATTGGTATATTATTTTTTTAATGAATAATCAACAATTACAAGTTTTAAATAGTACATTTATATTAGAAGAGAACACCTAGAAAAAAGCGAAAAAAATCCGAAAGAGGGCAAT